ACCGCCCAATTCGAGCGCGTGGCGAGATGTGCGCATAGCAATATCGATCGCCAGGCGGTCACGTCTTACCACGCGCTCGAATTGGGCGGTAGGCCGGCCTAAGACAACGATTTTTAATAATTAATTATTCGTTAACTATTACGAAAATTGCAAAATGGTACAGGACTTTTCCGTTCATCTCGATCCGTTCTACCTTCTCAAAAATTTTGTCGGGTATGGAAAGACTCACCCTGTATATTCTTGCGTTTAGAATACATTTTCCCTCCATCTTACAACGCACGAAGTTGGCACCGCGATATTCGACAAAAGACGATACATAGTATCATTTTATTCGAGATTTTATAACTTTTCATTTGAGATTAAAATATTCCATTTTCTCTAACAAATATGATTGGCGCTATATCGATCCTATTTTATGACACATTGAAGTGAAAAAGCATCGGATCCGGAAATTTTTTCTGTGGGCGCAGGATCCCTCTCGAGCGAATCCCGACGAGAGAGGACGTATTCGCGGGGTTGACGCAACCACCTCTCGCTCGAAAATTAACTTGAAGCAAACCGATTCGTATTCCCGCGCCCGCTTCTCCCTCGGAGCGTCGCGCACGTCGCGCCGATCCTCCTCGAGATCGATCGCGGCTCCTATAAATCTCTCCGGCTGGATGGTACAGACGAGAGATGCTCGGCAAGAGTAAGCGCGAGTGGGCGCGAATGGGGGGTCAAAGGAAAGAGAGGGGGCAACAGAAGGATAGACAGCCTTTTCAGACCCCTCGGTGACCAGTTTAGCGCTGGTTGGCATCCGAACTGCGCGCCGCGCAGGGTCCAGGGGCTGTCCTTCGGGCCGACGTTTCGGAGCCAGTCCGACTGAGCGGTTCGACGAGGAAATGACGCGAGATAACTCCGCCGCGACGTGCTCCGCCGATCGCGGCCCTCGCCGTCAGGCAGACCGCATTGGCGTCAGTGCGGTCTGACGTTTCTGGCAAACGAGCGGTTCGATAAGCGATCGCTCACGTGCGGCGCTCAGCTGCCGCGTGTCAGCGTTAAATAACGTGTCACTTCCGCATCGTGGAATTGAAAAAAAGAAATAGAATCGTAAAACAATTAGAACCGCGAGAGACGCTTAGTCGAGCTTAGAACCAAGGATGATAGCTTTAGTCAGCGAAGTTACGAAACGTGCATGTGGGAACACGAAGTGAACGGGTTGAACGCTACCGTTCCGATTGCAAATACCACTCGCGCCGGTGCTGTACCCCACCAGAGCGGAAATCGCGGTAACACTTGCGTGACGCGTTGCGCGACCGCGCTTTTTTTTTCCTCAATGATATTCAATCGCAGCGCGGGAGAACCGAGCCCATAAAGTTCGCCGATGAAATCGTTGAACGCGTCGCTGCGCGTGGAAACGCGGGGAGCAAACTCGTTCCTCACCTTCAAACGTGCGTTTTACCGCGGCGCGCACTTGCCGGTGTAGTTAAGTGACACTTGTGAAATCGACGCACACATTTTCACCGCTCCGAGCGAGAGCCGCGAGAAGGGAGCCGCTCGTGGACACTCGTCCGACTCGCTTTCGAGCGGTGCGTTATGAGAACGCACTCCTCCCGAGAAGGACAGTACCGATCGCGAGGTGTTTTCCAATTCAAGGGAAGCCCAGGAAACGCCCGCCACCATCCTCGAACGCGATCAAAGTGCTCCGGGTGATCTTTATACGCTTATGAACTCGCGATCTTTACGTCGTAGACCAACGTCGTAGACGAAGTCATTTCCGGGAAGCCACGTTACAAGCTGAAGTCACAGAACGGCGAGGTACTTTCCAATTTGAGGAAAGCCCGTTATCATCCTCGAACGCGATCAAAGTGCTCCGGATGATCTTTGTACGCTTTTAAACTCGCGATCTTTACGTCGTAGACGAAGTAATTTCTGGGAAGCCACTTTACAAGTTGCAGTCACAGAACGGCGAGGTGCTTTCCAATTTGAGGAAAACCCGGGAAACGCCCGCTATCGTCTTCGAACACGATCGAAGTGCTCCGGGTGAACTTTATATACTTATAGACTCGCGATCGTTACGTCGTGGACCAACGTCGTGGACTGGCGTCGAGGAAGAAGTCATTTCTGGGAAGCCACATTACAAGTTGAAGTCACAGAACGGCAGACATGGGAGCGAGTCGTCGGTACGCGGTCTAAGAATATCGCGGTGTGGATCGTTGAACCAGGGCTTCCTTTCTTCTTTCCACGTGTCGAGGTGCCCGGGGGAAATAAATCAGAAACTTTCTCCGACGACGCTCTCGGCTCGACAGTACTTCGTAAACGATGTCGGGGGACACCACGTCCGACGACGAGGGATCGCAGGAGGATCCGCCGCGATATGACGTCGACGATTTGGAAATCATCAAGACTATCGGTAGGTTCGAATATATTATCCTGGCCGAAAACCCGATCGTGGTGTTTTACATTGAATTCTCTGCCTGCCTCTTCCCAAGTTTAATTTTCATTTTGTTTCAATCTCTGTTCATCAGCCGTGCGACGCAGTTAATTTTTAATCTATTCGTCTCTTTTAACTCTTTAATGTACTGACATGGTTTAATAATGTATTTTTTACATATTTTACATAGTTTTTCTGAACTACCAGTCGATTATGACAGCTCGGCCAAAAGATTTACATCGGTTTCTTCTCTACTTTTTCACCGAACAATTTAAAAGCACTTTCACCGTTTTGCCTAACTAAAATCGTGCAAATTGAATTTTAAACATTTATTGTTAAAATGTTGTATTGTACTGTAGTGCTACAGGTGATTTTAATTGGAATCGAAATGTTCAATAATCGTTATATATATACTATGAATTTGTTTTCACGAATTCATGTAATCATAATTTAATATAGTTTATTATATGATTCACTCAACAATAACCGCGTTATACTCTCATTGCTCAATTGTTATTTTTGTTTATATTATCGAGTTTTTATTTATTTATTTTATAATCCTTATTTCTTGTTGATATTTAAAATATTTTATCATCGCAAGCGTAAAGAATGCTTGAATTTGAATTGTACGAAAGTGTTATTTTATATTTGTTTCGCAGAGAATGTTAAATTCCGCTTATGGATGGTAAAAAAAAAGAAATTAAACTTGATAACGCGATTGATGCCTTTTGAAATACTGATACATTTGCAGAATTACAAATGCTTATATAAATTACAACTAGAGAAATTTCTCGCATTAATAAAATTACTGTTAGAAAGTTGTTAAATTCTGAGAGATAAACATGCGAGTGTCGGACACTTGTGCGGGAGTAAACAAAAGATAGAAACTCAGTTCGCGATAATCAAAATGTAACGCTTCGGAGCGAGGAAGTTGGGAAAGAGTAATGAACGAGAAGAAATCAAATTTGCCGTTTCCAAAGTGGGACACCAGAGAGTAAGATCGAGCATATATTTAACTGTTCGTTAAAGTCGGCATTACGTGAGAGAATGGTTCGGAAAATTGCAGGCGCTCGGCCATGAGCGAAACTCTCCTTTTTCCTCTCTTTGCAATTTCAGCCCCGGACGCGTTCGGGCTACTGAGTGGATCGAAATTTTTTTACGTTACTCCTCTCCCCGAGACCGCGCAGCTTACGGATTTCGGTGTCGCTCGGGCAATCTTCGCTCGAGACCACCGCGCGAGGAGACTGACGCCTCACCTAAATTCGCGCGAGTATTTAAAGCGTCCACGCCATCACCGGAAGCGCTTCGTCGTTTTACCGTTGACACCTGTTCCGAGTCATCGTTGGCATCGTCGCGGCGTCAGTAGACGACACGCATGTATCATGCCGACCCTGCTGCGCGGCCAATTTCGTCGCTACTCCACGCGAGATATTATACCTTCGTCGCGAGTGCGCGCGCGATATAAATGTGCAAAATCTCTCGCGGTGTCCGCTGCAATGTGACGGCCAATTTCGCGGTTTAATTTGGCCAAGGCTCATTGCATGCGCGCTAATTGGTCGCGGTACGTTAACCGGAACAACCGAGTCACCTGCATTCGTGGGAAAGTGCATTAAATAGACCGCGCTGCGCAATGCACATCGGACAAAAAGAACGTCGAGAGCGTTGATAATTAACGGTCACCTCGGTGGTCGCTTCAGCAGACGGAACATTTTGCGACAAACGTACTTGTTATTCATAAAATCGCGTTAAACATGAATCACAATATCGGCGAACTGAGAATCGAGCGAAGGACGTCTCATTAAATATGAAAATTATTTTTTTTAGTTTTAGATTTAGTTCTTAAATCAGATTAACTAGGGACAGGTTTTATTCGTTGGCTGCGCTTTTGTTTCCTAGCTTCTTTTCCTCTTTATTTCATTTTGTTATCACAACTCCTTGTACGGATACATCGATTATTTCTATTTATTTACTTTGTTATTTATTTATGTCAATTGTAATGTGGTCTCTTCACTGTATCTATTGCCTTGCTTAAGGGGATGCTGGAGTGATTCTGCACTTTCGCACCTTTTGCACTTAAAACTGTCTGTTTCGTGAAAAGATTTGTGTAATACACAAATTAAATGGCACGTGTACAGATGATCGAAAGCAGCTTGCTATTCCGGCTAAATTAAAGAACAATATGGCATCACTGAAACTAAGTTTGTAAGTCTAATAAAAAATAATAGTGAGCAACACACATACTACATGTACTGTATGTATGTGTTGCTCACTATTATTTCTTATTAGACTTACAAACTTAGTTTCAGTGATGCCATATTGTTCTTTCATTTGGCCGGAATAGCGAGCTGCTTTCGATCTGTACACGTAAGCCATTTAATTTGTATATTACACAAATGTTTCCGCGAACTGACAGTTTTTAGATTAGAGAGGTGCAAAAGTGCAGAATCATTCCAGCACCCCCTTAATATGTACGGAGAGAATTTTTTGTGAAAATTTATCCTGAAAATGATCGTGGGACAACACGGCATTTTGAAGAACTTCATAATATTTTTCTGAAAGTTTACAATACATTTTATTAGTAATTATTAGTAAAATTTCAGAAAATTCTTTGAAATTGCCGTGTTGTCCCACGATTATAATATTTTCAAGATAAATTTTAAAAGAAAATGCTCTCCGTATACACGTATACTTTTCATTTGATTATGATCACTCAATTCTTCTAGTTAACATTATCAATATCATTATGAATGACGGCTGATGAAGGCTCAGTGAGGCTCGAAATGTTCCGCAAATTATTACAGGCATGAATAAATTGAATTACATTGTTTAACTCCTGCTCGTTTATTGTTCGGTGGACATTTTGTATTAATAACATTGGCTCAAATATCATGTGTAAATAATTTCGCCGTTCAACTAAGGCTTCTACAAGATACCATTCAGTTATTTGTAGAAGTTTCAGAAATCGCAGCATTTTAAGGCGGATAGGTGATTAGCCAATCGCACTGTGCTCGATTTGAACGTCGCGACCCCAATAGAGGGGTGCGTACGGCAAGATACTCTCGGTGAGTTGCCACTTTCTTCCAAGAGGTCGAATAAGGGATCTCGGACTCGTAGATCAGCGCACATCTCTCTGCCTCACGATTCACGATATTGGAAAAAGAAAATTATTACAAAATAATTATAATTTATAAGTTATGGTACCTTTATGTTGCGCGTGTACAGTGATGGACAGAATGCTCGAAATACTTTTCTTTTTTTAATGAGTTGAACGCGTTTAGATTCAGGTTTACGTTCCAAAACATTTTCTCTGAGGGAAATTTTACTCGAGAAATAGATCGGAAACGCTCGAGATGGTTTCGGAATGGTCAACGAGTAAAATATTTCTTGGAGAAGATTTTGGAACGTAACTCTGTATCAAAACGTTCCTAAACTCATTTAAAAAAAGTGTTGCGACCATTCTGTCATCACTGTGCACCCCAATTGATATTTAATCTAAATATATAAATATCTAATGCCCGCTTTCACCAACGTTGTTCAACTTTAAGCTTAGCTTAGTTCGTTCGTTGTCTCGTTTAAGGTTTAAGGGAATCTAAATATATAAATAATAAATGTATACATTTTTAGGTACAGGCACCTTTGGCAGGGTAGTTCTCTGCAGGCATCACGGAACGTTTCTCGCTTTGAAAATTCTTTCTATGGTCGACGTGATCAGACTGAAGCAAGTCGAGCACTTGCGCAATGAAATTACAATCCTGAAGGAAGTGAAACATCCTTTCATTGTCAACATGTAAGTATTTCCGTCTGTTATTATTGAACAGAAGACATTACTTGAGGATGGTTGGCAATTACTCCCCGGCGACTTCAAGCGCGTTTGTTCGAACACGCGACGTAATCATTGGAGGGAACGAAGAAAGTGTTGCGTTTGTCGGTCAAGGAAAGAATTCTCGTAAAGACGATTTAACGGAAAGCGTAGCCAGGACTAAACAGATACGCACAAGCATTCGACTACGTTTGCGCCACGTCGCGATTAACAGCTGGACAGCTCTAATGGAAATAGCGGATAGAACGGAATAGAAGTGGATAGAAATTGCATCCGTCCGAATCGATTCCAATTCATTTCTATCATTACTATTCCGTCGGGAACAGAAATTCTATATAAATCAATCCAAATTCAATTCCAATCTTGTTTAAGAGGATCTTTCAGCCATCTTTTTTACCGACACAGTCAAATACAGTTTTTGTGCTTGTAATTCTTTTTACCCACACAGCAGAAAGATTGCAGGAAGATTGCAGAAATGTTACATTGCAAGATTGCAATATTGCGGCAACGTTGCGCAACATTGCTGCAACGTTTCTGGAGGATTGCAGCAACGTTGAAATGTCCGCCCTCAGAGAGATTGCAGTGCAACATTATAGCAACGTTGCAGTGCAATGTTTTTGGAATAATTTGTTGTTGTACATAAGCAGAGAATTTACTAATTACATCCGGGCCTTTTTCAATACATAGCAAGCTATTGCGAAGCAACCTAAGGAGGTTATGTCGCTTCGCAATAGATGGAGATTGCGAGCAACATCGCACTGATCAAGTGCTTAATAATTCGCGCATTATTGGTACCAACTAAAATAACATTATAAAATTTTCGTAATTAGAAACATTTTTTAAATAGAAAATATAGTATTTTTATTATTTTTGAAACATTGCTGCAATATTGCTATCGAAAGTTTGCAATTTTATATCCCTGCAAAGTCTCTGCAAGATTGCAACGTTTCTGCAATGTAACTGCAACCATCTGTGCTGTATGGGATAATGTATATTAAAATCATGTATTATTGTATGTACATACATTTAACACTGTGTGCTGTATATACATACAAAATACATTAATGGATATACATATTATGTACCATAATGTATAATCAAATCATGTATATGAAATATATGCATATGCATTCCATATACAGGATATCATTTTCACGTAATGGAGAAAAAATGCATATACATAGAATGTCTAATGTTTTTAATGTTTTGTTGTCTCTAGTGTATGCTGGTTTCATTTCGTATATATTTATTGTAGAATTCGTATATCAGGTAAATATTGTCGTCACGTGTACCAAAAATTAGTAAAATAAAAAATGTTTTCGTTTTTTATATAAAGTCGACCAGCAGAGTCTAGCTTTTGCTGCGCACTTTAATTCCGTAAAAGAGTTTTGCATTTCTATAAAGCCAATTAAACGATTACTTCTAACAAAGAATGTCGATAAAACAGACGGCTTCAGGATCCCCTTAACTCTTGAAATGGCATAAAATTTTAATCCATAAACATTTTTCACTTCTTTATTCATTGTAATGTTAAATTCTGGAAAAGATTTCTATTCTAACGAATCATTCTAATTACATTCCGCTTCAGTACTATTCTATGACGAAATCAAAATGAACTTTTATCCATTATTAAGCATAAAAAAGAATAAAGTATTGAAATGTGTCCAATCCATTTGAATCTTTCTTAATTCCAATCCATATATTAGACCAAGTGGAAACGAGAACGCCAAATTATCACATATATTCGAATTAAAATGAATAAGAAAGTTTTATTAGGTTCTACGTGAAAAAGGGATTCGAGAAATGACATTAAAATGGATGTCAGATTTTCTATCCATTTCTATCCACTTTTTCCACCAGGGAGAAGCGAGGGAAATCGATCCGCGCGCGTGGAGAACGCTTTTTCAATTAGCGGTGCGAAATCGAGATCTGCTCGCGTAACTGCTCCGCTCGCAAGCCTTATTTTCAGACCACGAACGTTTTTCAGGCTGTGGAGTGGCAGGGACGAAGCCAGGGTCTACATGCTGCTGGAGTTCGTGGCCGGCGGGGAGCTCTTCTCTTACCTGAGAGCGGCCGGAAGATTCGCCGGGCCCACGAGTTGTTTCTACGCGGCTGAAATAGTTTGCGCCTTGGATTATCTGCACAGCAAGCATATAGTTTACAGGGACCTTAAACCAGAGAACCTTCTCCTCGACAGTCAGGGCCACCTTAAGATCACCGATTTCGGTTTCTCCAAGAAACTCACGGATAGGCGAGTCATTTAACAGACTTAACTCAAAAATAAGATCTAAATTGACGATTGAAAATTTGCTTGCTGGCTTTAAAACAGGAAAGAAGTACGTGAGAATAAAATTAACAATAATTCACATAATCGAATGCTGTCTAATCTAATACTATTTTTTAGTTTTTCTTATTAACTCCTGTTCGAATTAAGTTTAAATTGCGTTGATAAAGACCATCTGTTGTAAAATAAGATCTGCAATGTCATGCCGTTTGTATATATCACGGCTAAACTTCACCTGTTACTTCTCGTAACGTGCTTCATGTCATAATAAAACATTGTGAAACCGCGGCTATAATTAACACGTGCATTTTTAGAACATGGACTTTGTGTGGTACGCCAGAATACTTGGCGCCGGAGATAATTCAAAGCAAAGGACACAATAAAGCCGTAGACTGGTGGGCGTTGGGTGTTTTAATCTACGAGATGCTGGCGGGATACCCGCCGTTCTTCGACGACAATCCTTTCGGGATCTACGAGAAGATCCTGAGTGGTAGGATAGAGTGGCCAAAGCACATGGACCCAATCGCAAAAGATCTCATCAAGAAATTGCTGATCGCCGACAGAACGAAGAGATTGGGTAACATGAGGCAGGGCGCTGAGGACGTCAAGAGGCATCGATGGTTCAAGCTGGTCGAATGGCCCCTGGTAATTTCAAAATATCGGTGTACTTGCTTTCGCGTGACGTACATGTGACGTAACGGCGAATTAAACAATGACAGGAGCTAAGGAAATTAATAATATATGTTACCGTACGCCTTCGCGTGATCTGTTGGAAGCGCAGCGACAGTTAAACGATCGATGAATGTCCACAGGTGCCGCAAAGAGCCTTGATACCCCCGATAAGGCCACGTGTGAAAACGCCGGGCGATGCAAGCTGCTTCGACGATTATCCTGAAACCGACTGGCGTTCCCAGCCGCCCTTGCCACCAGACCAACTAGCTCTATTCCAAGACTTTTGACAGCTGTGACGTTAAATAGTTGCGAATATTTTTACGCTCACAAATTCATCATTACTACGCTAAATAGAGACACTTAATTTGCGGTACGGAACAACCGTGGTCGCGATTCGGCGATTGACAATAATTAATTTTCCATTCTGTACATAGGGTAACTTTTTATATTTTGTTGCGTATTACTTATTTATTTATACGTGCTCCAAGCCAGATGTTCCGTTTTGTTGTTTTCGTGAGATTCTGTAAATAAAGGTTAAACAGTCAATTTTACGTGTACTTTTTACTGTTCAACTTATCTGTTTCTCCATCAAGAGTCATAAAGTACATATTGTGTCGCCGTGCTGTACTTTAAATACTTTAAATAGAATCGATTTATACTTTTAATCGCGGTCATCGGAAAATAAATATATTTAAGGTACTGCGTTTGTCACGATTATCAGACTTACCATCATCTATATTTTATTAATTTTACAAAACGTGATAAATTATTTAAAGCCAGCCTTGGCACGCTATGTTTGCATGCTTGATCGCAGCAACACAACTTTCTACGTGAAGCGATTAAATCAACGTGATTCTGATCGAACAATAGTATAAAGCAACCCATCGTGGAAGAAGCATTATCAAGCACACAGTCTCTGTGAAATATTTTCTAAGCAGTGAATATCAAAACTACGAGTTTTCGACGGCAGCACGATGTTAAATACTTTACAGCATAGACAACATACAGTGAAGAAGATTACGGTGAATCATATAGACGTCTCGAAGAAGAACAAAGAATTATTCGACTTCCCTAAATTGTATAATCGGTCGGCAGTAAAAACTAAAAGAGTAATTGCTCAGCAGCTCTTGCAAGAATATCTGTATAACAGTTCGGTGCATGGCATGAAGTACTTCAGTAAATTGCAGATAAAATCCAGCATTATCGGAAAGCTCTTTTGGACTTCAATCATGATTTGCAGCTTTGTGTGTAGGTAACAAATGTATAGCTATACACAGATAGAATATCATTGTAACATATATTTGCATCTTTCGATTACGCGAACGTTCCTTTGAAACGATAAATGCGGATGAAAGCAAATGAAGACATTAACTAGCTGTAGTACTTATTGTTAGTGTATACTGAAATTCGTCAAATGTAAGTGACACTCTTTTTAGTTTTAACTTTGATGCTCCAGAAATTCTGGACGCGGTACAGCACCAATCCGACCCGCAGCATCATTCGATCGTTTCATATCCCAATATTTAGAGCCCCCTTCCCAGCTCTTACCATTTGTCCACTGATACCGCCGATGTCTTCGAGACGCAGAAAAGTATTTGAAAGTTTACGTTTACCGCACGGTATGAGTAACGCTACCGGGAGATTTCTAGTCAGGTACATGTATTTTTTTATTAAAACGCTCCCAATTGTGCAATTCTGCAAGAAAACAACTTTTCGAGGACTCATAAGATATGAAATTTCTTTTAGATACGGACCCGCATTTGCGAATGAGAATGCCCCTGGTGGTAAAGCACATTTGAAGGACTTGAAGTCATTGTTAAAGCTAAATAATATGTCGCTGATAGATTTAATAATAGCCTTGCGACCTTGCGAAGACATATTTGAATCCTGTGCGTGGAACGACGTTAATATGAATTGCAGCGAGCTGTTCAAAGTATCTTACACTTTCACAGGTATATGTTGTTCTTTCAACTATCTTCTTGAAGATTACATACAAAATGGCAGGTAATTATATCTAATTACGTAGTTTACACAGAATTATATAGCATACGCAGTTATTATTATGGGGCAATTGTCTCGTGACTTTGTTTCTGTTAAAGTAATACGGAAAACCTCAAGAATCTTCTTACAACCCCTCTGTACGGCCCAAATTCCGGTCTTACGATTCTTTTAAACCGAAATTTTTTGGTCGAGGATGACCCCACGGAAGAAAAATATGTAAAATATTCAACAAATTCCGTCGGTCTTGTGGTACAAAATTTATTGATATAATCCCTGCTGAAAATACCCGATTCAAACCGATAGATATCGCATTGATTTCTATAAAAATTAATCGGTTTCAATTCGATATCAATCGGGCCAATCGGGCACCGGATTGGTGGAAATGCAAGATCAATCGGATTCAATCCGTAATCTGATTCAATCCGGTATTTCCAGATAGAATTGAAGCAGTAACAATCGGTTTCTATCGGATTTTCTGACGAAGTCTGTCAATCGTTATTAATACAACTTTTCCGGATTGACTTGAATCCGCGCCAATCGGTTCCAATCGGCGAATTTAAATCTGAATTGTCTATTCCCAGTCAGAAATGACTCGTCGATCGACATCGAAACGACGTCATATCGACATCGAAACCGTCATATTGACGTCGATTCGACATCATTTTGACATCGATCTACGAGTCATTTCTGACTGGGTTGTTTTTAATACAACTTTTCCGGATTGACTTGAATCCGCGCCAATCGGTTCCAATCGGCGAACTTTTATCACGGGTTGAAACCGATAGACGCGGATCAAAATCTATCTGGAAAGTCCTGATTGAACACGATTCAAATCTGACCCTATCCGCGTCAATCGGTATATTCCGCATCAAGAATCCAGATTCATGCGGATTCAAAATTTTCAATCGGTTTTAATCGGGTATTTTCAACAGGGATGTTAACGTTTTTTTAATAAATATTTAATTATATTTCTCGTACATTAAAAAAGAAAATAAGGTAAAGCTTTACTTTACAAAAGTAAATCTCCTTTTCGCAAAAATATAACCTTACCTATGTATTCCACATCTGAGGTGCGGGTTATACCTCACTTCGCATAGCAGTTGTAGCAGAAAGCTACAAACCCACTCATTACAAACAAGTTATTTAACTTATTTATCAAAAGAAAAGAGCAAGGTATAATCCACACCTCAGATATGAGATGGGTATATTTTTGGAAAGTATAAAACCACCCCATAGGAGAAGCGAAACCCATTGCATATTACACATAAGTATAACATATTCTATCAAACGTTTTATTCATTAAATTTTGTCTATTGATAACTTTTTAATAAACAATGAACGACCGCCGACTAAAACCTTTTAAGGACTACTCAGGACCTTGACATATGTCAAGGTCAAAGTTATCAGCGAGCTGTTAAAGTGAAGATTTACCATAAATTAAATTAACGATTGTCAGTCGGAAAGCTTTGCCATTCAAATTTCTTTGAATACATTAAATTCTTCAAATTCATCCAATTTATTCAAACAGCATTAATTATTTACTTTTTTCTGTGAGATAGATGTTCCCTCATCATCCTCTGGAATATGTCACCACCTTAGCTACTAGACAAATTCTACAAACCGAACAAGAATTACAGGTAATTATACAGGGTGACCATATGGAATAATTTTTTTTAATTACCCTTTTTGCAGGGTTGGGAAAGTTACTTCATAAAAGTATCTGGTTACAGTTTTTTCGCTAAAAGTGTAACTAGTTGTAGTTACAAGTTACCAATTCTGAAAAGTAACGCGTTACAAGTTACAATATTACTCAAAAGTAACGAATTACTTTGCAGTTACTTTCTTGCAATAAAACTAAAAATATCAAATCTGCATTTGAATTGTAAAGCATCGATAAAAGCGTTTATGTGCAAATGTACGGTCTAATCACTAACGCGATCTGTGGAGGTTTAAAATATATACAGGGTATCGGATTCGGTTTGGACCACTCCAAAGATTATAGTAGATTGGATCAAACTAAGAAGAAAAGTTATATACCATTTTACAAAATCCGTAATTATTATCGCGTAATTAAGAAAAACGTCTGAGCCAATAAGTGCACGGAGGAGCGGAAGGTCGGACTCGGCAGACATGCAAAATGGTGTATCTGTTGACATCTCTAAGATCCGATAGCGAGAAGTGGAGTCACGCATCGATCGATGAGAGACGTTGGCGAGCGGGGAGCGGTGAACGGGCGAACGTCGCGCAGCGAGCGAACACGCGACATATGACACCGCGCCGAAAAAGTTTTTCTGGTGAAAGGAGAATAATACACCATTTTGCATGTCTGCCGAGTCCGGCCTTCAGCTCCTCCGTGCACTTATTGGCTCAGACGTTTTTCTTAATTACGCGATAATAATTACGGATTTTGTAAAATGGTATATAACTTTTCTTCTCAGTTTGACCCAATCTACTATAATCTTTGGAGTGGTCCAAATCGAATCCAATACCCTGTATAAAGGTACTATTGGGGATGGAGATAAAGTAACGAAGTTAAGTTAGATTTACGAAAAAAAAGTAACTTCGTTATAAGTAACGAGAGTTACTTCCTAACCCTGCCTTTTTCGAACTTTTATCCCAATTACCTTTCGAATAGATTAATGTATCAACCTCCACTCGACTCGATAACTATTGCGAATTTTGCAACGCGGCTTATGACTTTTCTTCTCAGTTTAACTCAATCTACCACTATTTTACAATTGGCGACATTTTTATCAGACACCCTGTATATTTATTGTAGAATTCTCGTATCAAGCAAATATTGTCGTCAAGTGTACAAAAAATTAGTAAAATTTTTAATGTTTTTTCGTTTTTTATATAAAGTCGACCACTATGGTTTAGATTTTGCTGCGTACTTTAATTCCGTAAAAGAGTTTGGCATTTCTATAAAGCCAATTAAAAGATTACTTCTAACAAAGAATGTCGTTAAAAACAGACGGCCTTAGGATCCCCTTAACTCTATTAATTTATATTCTCTTTAGTAATATTACGAAAAAATGTTTGATGGAACATTTTCCAAGTATTTCATATAATATTTGATTGCTCTGCCATGATCTAGATCTCCGTAACTCCATTTATCAAGAAAAAGCTTGAAGGGTACTACGAAGAAAATTCTCGCGGTGAATTGGTTCCGAATTGTGCAGACGAGAGTACTAAACTAAAGTATTTTCCCTTATATCGATATTCCAACTGCTTTACCAGCTGTTCTATCGAGGCTGTTCTGCAAGCCTGTAGTTGTGTGCCATATTACTACACGCCTGTAGCCAAGAAATATTCTTTAAAAGTAACTTAAAAATTTTTTAATGAAGTTCTTTAACATGCTTCGGATTTTACAATAAAATCATGGTATATATTGTACAATATACAGGGTGCTACGCAACATATTGACTTCCGGTCATGGGAAGGTAGAGGGGACTTAGATAAACAGAAAAGTATTGTACTATTTTGCGCTTGGACGAATAGTTATCGAGATACGAAATTTTAAAAATCGCCGTATTAGCCCAACCTACTGGCGAATGTAAGCGCGCGGTGAGATGCGTCGGCCTAGCGGCCCCGCTCGAGGCGGTGTGCGGCGAGGAATAGAATGGCGGTGCGGGGTGAGAAGTAGGGAGGCGAGGCGCGCCGCTGCCCGTCCGCCGCTTACGCGACCGCTCGCACGTCTCCCCGCGCGGGGCCGCT